CTATTGCGGTTTTGTGGTACACATGAATCGAACCAAAGTATGAACTTATTTATGTCAAGGTCAGCCATGATTTTCAAAAGCAAACATGTTACAGCACTGGCTAGATCATTTCCTCCACGACCAGTCATGGCTTCGTGCCAAAGGATGCAATAGCCCTTCCTGTTAAGCGAGCAATGACCAGTTAAGTTATAATTTGAAAGTTTTCGTTTGTAATAAAAGTTTCCCACATTAGCTCTAGGCAAATTTAAAACATTTTCAAGGTCAATACAAACAATTGCAGTTTTAGAATCAACATTTTGGCGATCATTTTCACATTCAGTTTTGGTATCATTCCTTGATTTTATGTGCTTATTATAACTATCTGTTTGTTCATTGCTTGCATTAACAATGTTGCGATACTCATAGCATGTGTCACATAAATCTTTCTTCGGTTTTTGAAATTCTATATTGAACTCGTGATTAAAGATATAACGATACATATGTTCTTTTGCTGGAGGAGAGACATTTTCATCACAATATATTTTATAAAGATCATACATTCTACCTATATTTAGTGATCCTTCCATGTATTCTTTATGTGTCTTTTTCCTGCTATAATGAGCATCAATTCTTGGGAAAAGGTTAATATGGTCTCGTACAACTTGTTTAGACTCTTCTAGTAACCTTTTTTTAACATGTTTCCCTGATTTTGATTGCAATGGTGTTCCAGTAGTTAAAGATTTATTAAACTTATGAAAGTAAAACACTCTATGGCTGCTAATATTCAATGTTGAAAGATAATATGATTTACAAACTCTATATTGTGTATTAGAAACAAAAAAGCTATAATAATAAGATGTTTTTCTTCTTGAATTGTCACCAGCAGCTGTCCGACAGCGTTTTTTCTCCAGATTTTCAGTAGTTTTAGAATAGAAATGTTTTTTTCCGTCATCATCTAAGGTCCAAAAGTTATCAAATATTATTTGACGCTCAATCTCAGATATATTGGTAGAACATTTAAATTTACAATTTCTGCAACTATTTAGTGCAACAATAGATCTTTTTGGCATTTGTTCTCCTTTCGTATTTTTATAAGCTTTACCCGACTGACGTTGGATTTTTCTTACACTTTGTTTCCAACTACTCCTATCAGCTTTACGTTTCCTAGAAACCCCACCATGGGGCGACCGACGAGAAGGTGTAATGCCAAGCAGCTCTAACGATTAAAATATTAATTTTTTATTATCCAGGATGTATAAATAATAACTTTTAAATTTAATCTAAAATGGCACAAGCGAAAGTCGAATTCTACTTTTCCAAAATTATAATACAAATTAAGTTGAAAAACTACCTTCGTTTTGATTTAGGGCAGGTTCCATTTCTTGGTCAATATTTGCAGTTGCCATTTTGAAAACAACAAAACTGATAAAATTATTCCGAACAACTTTGTAATTGTAATATGATTGGTTGATTGGAGATAGAACAAGATAATATTTTCAAGTTTGCTCATTAAGGAGATAAAACAATGCAATATTGCATGCAATACCGTGTTAAAAGTTTCATTTTTTTTCAATATAATTAAAGTAGAACAACACAATGCTAAAATATTCGAAAATAATAAAATCTCAATTTTTTCAAAAACTGGAGATAGCACAAGATAATTCTAACGTCGCGAAATGTTAAAACAAGTAAGAAAAAAAAGAAAAAAAAAATTCAAAAATCTGAAAACAAATACAGTAAACTATAATATATATGTCAGAAACTAATAAGATGCATTTTAGTTTGCTTTTTAAACGTTTCAATGCTTTTTAGGTCTTTAATATTTTTATTTTGGAAATGATTCCTTTTGATGGACCAAGGTTTGAGTTAGAAAACTTGACTGCTGTGATTTAATTTTTCCTAGGTGATAGTTGTATCCACTGATCTCTATAATAACTGGATAGCGCATCTCCTAATAAAATTTCGAAATTTTTGAAGCCAAAAGACGCCATATTGGAAAGCCCCAGAATTTATAAATCCGTAGTTGCGTTAAACTTAAATGCGCTTAAAACACAGATTTCGCTTGATAAATAAAAAATGCAAAAACCTTATAAATGCATTGATTATTAAAAACCGAGTAAATCTGATGTTATATGTTCAGATTATTTCATGGAGAGTGACATATATATATATATATATATATATATATATATATATATATATATATATATATATATATATATATATATATATATATATATATATATATATATATATATATATATATATATATATATATATATATATATATATATATATATATATATATATATATATATATATATATATATATATATATATATATATATATATATATATATATATATATATATATATATATATATATATATATATATAAATTATGTATACAGGGTGGCCAGCCACTTTCAAGAATTAAATTCCCTGACTTTTTATATTTTTCCCTGACTCAGTTATATTTTGAAGTGTGAATTTTTAAGTTTTGTTGTTTGGAAGTAAGTAAATAAAAACCTTTAAAAAAAATTAAATTTTCAAAAAAGACATTTTTCCCTGATTTTCATGACCAGAAAAAATTCCCTGACTTTTCCATGATTTCCAGTTAGCTGGCCACCCTGGTATAATATTATTATAATATATTTTTGGTCTTTTATGTTGCTTATTTGTTTTCACAAGAGATATTTTTAATATTTATTAATTATACAACTAATATTTATCAGTATAAAACTGATAGATGTTAGCTGAATCATTATTATTTTACTTTAGAGTCAATAGAAAAACTTGAAAGAAACCATGTCTGTTTTCATTTATACCATATTTACATATAAACAATCAACATGTATGTGATGCTGTTATTTAGTCTAAAACACTAAATACTTTAATGTAAAACTGCAAATAACTAGTTATCACCAAATATCCAGTGTTTTTTACAGTTAGAGATGGCTTTTTCAAACCTTCACAAAGTGTAATTAAAGTTAGCAAAGCAACAGAACAAAACATTGTTATTAAGTGATATCAATTTTAATAAAGTATTGCATAGTTGATGATATTTCAGTTGTGGAACAATATAAACATGCCCTCAGAGTTTCAAAAATTAGAAAACCATTTACAAAAATGTTTGATACAATGTTTTTATCATGTTTTATACTTGTAAAGTTACTTTCCAGCTACTCTTGCTAAGTAAGGTCGCATCAAGTTGTTAAAATAAACACCCAAAAGTAACCAGATCAAATATCAATTTGTCTTTTAGAAAAGTTTTATTTAGAATATCATGAATTCAATAAATTTAACAAGTTCATAGAAAGCAATACAAATTTTATTATTTCTTTATAGCGATATTTCTCTTCGTCGTTAATGTTCTGCGTGTTTTTGATTCCCTTTTATAATTTTTACACCTTCAAACATTTTAAATATAATAATATCATTGAAATATGTGACTTGGTCGAGTAGATATAAACGAAGTAAAAAGGTACATCTTCAAGCGCAATCACTGTATTTTCGGTATTCTGGGGCTTTCCAATATGGCGGCCGTACAAAATATTGGCTTCACTTTTGATATTAGAGATGCGCTATCCAGTTATTATAGAGATCAGTGGTTGTACCTGGTATTTGAACGCAGATTATAATTTTCAGAAAATGATATCAAGAAAATATATAAAAAAATGTTTGGTAGTAGATTCTTATACTAATACATAAAAATTAATATATGTAATGTGTTTAGTTTCTCAATATCTAGAACCATCATGCTTTTCATCACTGGGGTCGGGTTTACTAACCTATTTAAATAAATAATTCCATTGCATGCATGGTTTTGCAGGCTTTGAAATTTTAGCAACTTTGTTTTATGGGTGCTGGCGCAAACAATATTTGCGTACAAAAGCTGACTAAAGTAAGGTAAAAAAGGTAAAGCATATTACGTGATTTACTATCGAGAAAAGGTCTCGACTTATACAAAACACCTATTACAGAGGACACTTTTGTTTCAAGAAGACCAATATGGTTTTTCCATGACAAATTTTCATCAAAAAGTACTCCCAAAAATTTTGCATATTCTTTATATTTAATTTAATTTTCATTAATAAGCAGTTTAGGTAGCTTTAACGGAAGATTAATTTTTTTTTTTTTATGAAAAAGAGTAAAGCTAGTTTTTTCATAATTTAGGGATAATTTATTTGCTATAAATCAGAGGTTGAAATTTTCGAGTTCAATATTTATAGTTTCAAACAAAGTCTTTACATCAGGATGATTAAAAAATAAATTTGTATCGTCAGCATACATAATTGAAGATATTTGTTGGGAAGCTTTATGCATATCGTTAATATATATTAAAAAACAATAATGGACCTGAATTGAACCCTGAGGAACTCCACACGTAATATCGAAGGCTCCTGACATTTCTACAAATTGCTTTCTGCTAGCCTAGTTAAATAGCTTTGATTCCACTTAAATGTTGAGCCAATTATACCGTAATATTTTAGCTTGGAAAGTAAAATGTTGTGATCAAATGTATCAAAAGCCTTGGAAAGATCAATAAGCACTCCTAATACCAGTTCATCACTATCAAACGACTTATATTTTGTCAGCAAGTTTAATAATAGCATGTTCAGTAGAGCAATTGCTTTGAAATCCAAATTGATTTTTGTATAATAAATTGTTAAATGTAAAGTAATTATTAACTCTATTATAAACTACTCTCTCAAATACTTTTAAAAATACTGGAAGTAAAGAAATAGTTCGGTAGTTAGAAACATTATTGCAATCACCTTTTTTTGAGAATCGGATTAATTTTGGATAAAAGCGCCTTATTTTGGCTAAAAGAACTGTTAGCGTTGTTTGTAATGTAAAAGCGCTGTTAAAGAACTTAAACTACAAAGCTGTTAAAGAACTTAAACTTTGATGAGAAAGCGCAACGGTACCAACGTTTTTTAACTTGGTTTTAAACATCCTTTTAAGTTCTTTAACAGCGCTTTTTTTATATTTGGGTAACTCATGGAAAAAACTGCATATCCAGGTTTGATCGCGATTTTTCTACCATCATTTGCTTTGCAAAAAATTCTATTTCATCGCTAAGACGATGAAATAGAATTTTATCTGCACATCATAAATCGATATTTTGGTTAAAGCTAAAGCAACAGCTTTAGAGCAGCAGTAATTTTCCGTAGTCGTTTTGCAATTAGTTTTATAGCGCCAATCTGAGCTGAACTTCTTGTGCCCGAAAGCTAGTGAAGCATGATCTTCTGTCTGGCTGGACTGCAGCTAAAAACAAAAAGATCTTAGATTTTTATTTATTTATTAAAATAATCAATGAAACTTATACATAAAAAGTTTAGTATAGAGGAAGGAAAACAACACCAGGCGTTCATATGCTGACGATTGATGTTGTTGCAGGCGAACTAGCATCATAAAAATACTTTTAAAACTTACTGTTTAAGTTCCTTTTACTGTTAAATTTTAACTGTTTTTAAACGTTTACTGTTTAAGTTCCTTTTAAGTTCTTTAACAGCGCTTTTCTCTGACAAACCTGATGGTTATTTTAAAATAATTTATTTCTTTATTTAAAACTATAACTCTTTGGTAATATAAACAAAGCAAGTTATTCACATCACGAAGTAAATTTATTTTTTCCCTCATTAATAAAAACAATTTTTTTACTTTTTTGTCTCTGCGGCCCTGTGCGTACGTACGCACAGGGCCGCCGAGACAAAAAAGTATTACAAAATTAACTTTATTTATTACAAAATTAACCTCCTACCACAACAGAATTTAAAAAACAAAAAAAACTTTCAGTTAATTCGAAATTTCTCTGTTATTTAACATGTTGATTTTTTAAGCTTGCAAAATCGAACCTGTCACTTTGAAAAGGACGCATGTCCAAAATTTTTAATGTTACTTATCAAGGGTATTAAGGCACGACTTGCTTTCTTTTAAATAATCACTTTGAAATATTTTTTCATCATTAAGTTTTTTTTAAAACCCGTTTAATACATATTTTTTGAAAAGATATTTTCTAGACTTTAATTAGCGTCCAACATTATTATAGTTTTTATATAAAGCATCATAATGCTTGAGTTACAGTATAGTGAGTATCATCACAAAATAAAGTTTAATTAGCGAATTTTAATAAAGTAATTCAAAAATCAAAAGGTATCGACAGCAACCTAACAAAATAAAAAATAAAAATTAAAACAAAATATTAACATTTGGTAAATCTGTCAAACAGAACTGTTAGATCCATTTTTTTGATCAAGTATTTATATTTTTAACTTGGAAACATATTTACAGAGGGTGATTAATAAAACAATAACAAATAAGCTCAGGCATGACAGATAATAAATATTTTATTATGGAATGAATAAAACTAAAGCACTTAAAAAATTTGTAAAAATTTGAATTCTCAGTGTAAGTCTTTTACTTTCAATGGTTTTAAATCACTCTCAATCTGTAAGATTAAAATAAAATACTTTTTTTTAAAACCAACTCTGAGTTCAACTCAAGTTTTTAATAAGTAGATCAAGTGTTAAAACAACATTCTAAAAAAGTTTCCGGTGATCAATTGCAGTTTTGTTTCCGTTGATATTGACCATAGAACATTCCAACGTTTTGAAACAAGAACTCAAATGTTTTCTTATAATTATTAATGTCAATCAGTTAGAATTCGTCTATATATTACGAACATATATTTGAACATTAAATTTTATATATAGGAGACCATTTGGTTTATTCGCGCGGTGATTTTATTTTTAAAGCGCTATTTTATTTTGCGAAGAAAAAATGTAATTTCTGTATAGCTAATTAGTGACGCGTAATTTATGGACGATCTCGGTAATCATTTTGACTTCATCTAGATACAAAGTCAAAATAATTACCGAATGTTATAACGATCTAAAAATGTTTTCAGCAGTTTCATTTCCTTACACTTTCTGGAATGTTCTAGCGAGTGATTCAAATGACGCATCAATGCTAATTGGACTCTTTTGGATCATGTACTTACCTGGTAACAATGACAACAAAGAGCCAACGTATATTTTTAAGGATGGATTTACCATGTAAATGAAAAGTATATACTAATCATGTATTTAATAAACCCATCTTATCAATGTCAAGTATATATTGAAATTTTTTTTACAATGAATTAAAAAAAAAAGTTTTAATATTTCGTCTGAAAAGTGCATGTTAGCAATGTGAAAATATCAATTCTAACTTGAAAAGACTTAATACAACTTTAAGTTCATAAATTCCTTAGTTAACTGTTTTGAAGCGATTTAGTAGTTGTAGTTGCTAAGATCAAATATCGTTTAAAGTCGATTAAAATTTCATTTTTTTATAGTTTTTAAAAATTACAAGTAATTTTTACAAAATAGATTCTCTACTTCTTTGTGTCGATCTCTACAAAAAAAAAAAAATAGTTTCCTTAACTTTCTAGAATTGTAAATGTCTTTTTTTTTAAAAAAAACAACAACAAACAAACAACACTTTACTATATCTTTATAAAGTATTTTTGGTATGATGTGTTGAGAGATTCTAATAAGAATATCGTTTAAAATAAAAATGCACAGACTAAAAGACATTTTCAATAATAAATTTTTCAGAACTTCTTTAATATCAAATGCTTTAAAACTAATACATCTATCCAACTACTGCTTTATTGATTCTACAACAAAATGCTTTAAAATTCATTTATACAACAACTAAGGACTATGCAAATTTTAAAAAATCAATATATTGTATTTTGTACAGAAAAAAGGTGCAGATTAGAACCTAGTCTGCTAATTCATCTATCCAGCAGCTGCAACAACAATATTTTCAACCATACTGTTACAATTTTCTGGAAGAAAAAAAAACAGCATTATTTTATTCTGATATGTTTAAATATATCTCAGGATAAAATATATAAAAACTTTAAAATATACTCATATTTAAAGAGAAAGAATTGTGATATATACATACATGCATATCAGTGAAGAATCTAGAAAATTATTATTATTATTTTATTTATTTATTTTTAATTTTTTCGGAGGAGGGGGGGGGGGGGAGGAGGATGAAATTAAAAAAAAAGCTCATTAAATTTACAAAAGGGCCTATAAATTAAAATGTATATATATATATTTTTAATTTTGGTGTATGTAAGTGTGTGTAGGGTGGGTGGGGGTTGAATGCATTCCTCATCCCCCTCCTGGATCTGTTACTGATAGATATACATACGTATATAGAAAATCAACAACTTGTTTCTCCATCAGTAGATTTATCATATATATAGATATATATTTATAAATATTATCACATATATATATATATATATATATATATATATATATATATATATATATATATATATATATATATATATATATATATATATATATATATATATATGTATATATATATTTATATACACACACACAGAGTTGTTAACAAGGTCAAAAGTAGCAAGGCCAAGACCAAGGCCAAAAGTTACAAGGCTGACAGTTTTAAGGTCAAAGCCAAGAATGAAAGTTTCAAGACCAAGGCCTACGCAAACATTTTTAAGACCAAAGACCTAAATTTTTGTCTTATGTTAAGGCCAATTATTAACAAAACTGTAGTTAGCAAGTACTGTGACAATAAAACCATGTGTTGTTAAAATAGACCAAGATATGCACAGAATTCAACAAAGTCAATAAGAAAATATACTTGTAAATATATATAAAAGCCGAAAACAAAAATGCATAAAAATAAAGAATGAAAACTTTTAATTCTTTAATTTTATGTATTTTTTTTTTTGAAGGTCAGGACCAAAACAATCAAAGCCAGAGCCAAAATTTTCAAGGTCGAGACCAAGGTCAAGGCTAACTGTTTCAAGGGCAAGGCCGAAGCCAAGGACTAACCACTGTGTATGTGTGTCTATATTATTTTTGAAACTTTAAACTCTTTCAAAAAAAATTGGTGATGGAGAGAAAATATCCAGTTAATGGCATTTACTATCATTTAATTGACAAATGCCATCACCTAAAAAAGGCACTTGCTAGTCTTTAACTATGTTTCATTCAGAGAAAAATTTATTTTAACAGAAATTTTGGTTTTGTACCAATTAATGTGCGGGTAGAACAAATAGTAGCCAGTAAACTACGAAACAATACTTTCAAGAGTCATTTTTTTATCACTTTAAGTGATAACATTTTCAAAAACAAGATTTAAATTAAAAAAAGGCTAGCTGTTACACAGCTGTTATAGGGTTGTAACGTATAATAATATATTTGTATACTATACATATAATAATATATAATATAAGCATAATAAAAATTGCTATATTATAGCTGAATTTCTGACAATATATTGATAATAAATATTTATCTATAAAATTACTAGTAGTATTATGAAATGAAAGAATCATTTTTATGATACTATAATCCAGGTTCTTTGATTGAGATAATAATTTTTAATTACTTTAAAATTGAATCTCTTGAATTGAATTAAATTTTTTAGATAACTTGTGTATCTCTTTTTCTTTTTTCAAAACTAAGTTTTGTATCTGTTGTTTTTTTTAGATAAATTTTGTATTTTTTTTTGCTTTTATTATTGTGCTTTTTTTTCTTATGCTTTTTGAATTTTTTCTCTTTACTTTATCTTTTTTCCTTTGTGTGAACATTATCCATGTTATACAAACATTGTTAAACACATATTTTTCATATTATGTAACACATCTAGTTTATAAATAAATTATTATTTTATTAACATAATACTTTAGCTAATAAATATTAAAATCGTTTAAATATTTACTAGCTGTATACAAAATTAATGTTACATTAATATTATAAGTTATGTATATACAAATAGTTATGTATATAAATTTAAAACAAAACAGAAATCAATTAATGCAGTATAAAATACGATATTTTCTAATAATAGTCACATCAATGCCAAATAAAACCCACACCTCATTTGGTTAAATGTCTGGCTCTTATAAAGATTATTTGAACTCTAAGAGTTTAGACTACATTAATGCTTCCATTTATCATATGGTGACCAAGAGTTTAAATAATCATATTACAGTCTTATACAAATCAAAATATATCACAAACCCATACCTGAAATGAATATTTCACTTAATGCTTCTCAAAGTTGCTTGAAAAAAACATAAATGACTACTTTCGATATAAATATTTCCTTATACTAATCTTTACAAAATTAAGATTTCTAAAAAATTAAGACTGTCAAAAACATTTATAAAAGATAAAAGAAATTGTTGATATATCAAGGAAACAAAAAAAAATTATATTAATTAATTAGATGTCTCCCCAAAAAGATAAATGCAACAAAAGCAGACGTTAAATACACAGGTATATATCAAAAGTAAACACTATATATACATATATAGTGTTTATATAGCATATATATATATATATATATATATATATATATATATATATATATATATATATATATATATATATATATATATATATATATATATATATATATATATATATATATATATATATATGTATGTATGTATATGTATATATATATGTATGAATATATATATATATATATATATATATATATATATATATATATATATATATATATATATATATATATATATATATATATATATATATTTGATTTTTTAAAAACGCTAAAAAGAATTAATTTAAAAAACTAAAATAAAAAAATTATTACTTCGTTTCAAACTTATCAAAAATTGAAGATAACGTGTTCAAAAAATTTATTTATCAAGTTATCAATATCTTATTTACACTTGGTCAATAATAAAAAGATCTCATGAAATTATAGATGAATTGATTGTAATATAAAAGAAAGATAAAAACAAACCAAAAGTTCAAAAAACAAATTAAACTTTATCAAAAAAATTTTAAATTAATAAAAATAAATTTTAAATACTTTGAGGGATTTAGGAAATGTACTCTCGCTTAGTTTCTAGGTGAATTGTGGCGAAATACTGGCAACAAGGCCTTACTTAAATTATAAAATAATTTTCACTTAATAGCAATTTATGATAACATTTAAAAAGTCTTAGAAGTTTAGTTCAAATAAAATATTATTAAATCTTTAATTCAATTGATAGGGTATGAGGTAGATTCCAACATTTGAAATCTCTTTATCTACTGTTAATTTACTAAGACCAATTTAACCGCTAAGATACGTACATTGCTTAATTATTGATAACTTTTTGAAATTTCCAGAATTATTTATCTCCAGGGAAAACCTGTTTTAAACCAGTTTTTATTCGGACTGTGGTGTGACTATATTTGAATGCTATAAACTTAAAATTTTTATCCGTTCTCGCATAATTTTCGAGTCTTCTGCTTCGACGCTTACAATTCTTATAGTCTATCTAGTTTTCACGAATAATACAAAATGAGTGGTAAAGGTAAATTTGATAATTTTTGTTACTTACATTACTATTCTTAGTGCTTTTATTTTATATTAACTGCAACTTTATATTGTTCAATTTAGCTATATAACGCCCTATCATTTTTTTTGTTTGCGAGACGTTAACGATGTTCTAATTTGTTTCTTTTTTTTTTTATCTTAGGTAAAGACGCTAAAAAAGGTGATGCCAAAAAACCTGAAGCAAAAGGTGATGCTAAAAAAACGGAAGAACCCAAAAAAGGTAATTCACTCTTTGTTTGATTTTGTTTTTTTAAATCTAGGCATGTAGTTTTTATTCTCTTAACTTATATTTAAGAAAATGATCAGAAGTTAAAATGGTTTTATTTTTCTCTTTTAGACGCTAAAAAAGGTGGAAAAAAATAGAATGTATATCTCTCCAATATTAGTCTTTAGGGACGTTTCTACTACGATATTTTATGAAAAATCTATGTAAATTAGTCTGCTTTGTAATAATTTTATTTGACGATACACTATTGGAAATATGTTTGTTATTAATTGTTTTTGCCCTTTATTTTTATTTCTAAAAGTTTTTATTTAGCGTCACTTATCTTGAAACAGCGCTTAGGTTCGAAAAACAATTTTTCGCTTAAGTTAAACTTGCAAAATTCATAGGGCTACAACAGCCGTAGTTACGTTTTTTAAGTCATTGTTAGGTATTTAATAACTGCACCGATGCTTATGTGCAACAAAATTAACTAGTATTTTTGTGTGTAAAGTAAGCATTGCAGCTAGCAAGGAACGGTTCTAGAAAGTACGAAATAAAACTCAAATAACGTCGGTTTTTCAGCAAAAAAAACTGCCGGCAATATAACGCGATTTAAAAAATGCATTCATAAACTTTCAAAAAAACTAATGTAAAATTATGTATGCAATCGTAAAATGCCACCCGTGTACGTTTAGTGTAGCATTATAGTACCATGTTAATTTGAATCATAAAAAAACGTGATTAACTAATAACTTAAAATAACTCAAAATAATAAAGTAAAGTTTTAAAATGGAACATCTGTTCACATTCAATTAACAAACTTTTCTTATTTTAAGTCTCGAAGTTAGATTAAGAAACCAATATAAAATTAACGTTGGCATAGAAATGTTTAAGACGTAGGAGTTAAAACTATATTTTTATAACTTACCAAAATCAAGAGAAAGCATCTAAATTAAAGAAAATGTATTATGACTTCATTTAATTTATTTAAATAAGGAGCTGATGTTAAAATAAGCATAATAATTATTTTGAATCATTGTTAAGCTGCTCAAAAGTTGTTTTTGTTTTTGTTAACAAAATAAGAAATTTTTTTTAACGCGATAATTGAACATAATTTTAAATTATATGCCGGACAACAAAACTGTTATCTGAATATATAGCATTTATAACTCTGTATATTAATAATGTACTAGAATAAAATCAAAATACTTTTGATAGCATTGTTTTGGTTTAAAAACATTTTACAAATTTTAAAAAATAACACAAAAAAAGTTTTTAAAACGTAAGTTGATAAACATTTAAAAATCGTAAATTTAGTCAACTTACGTTTTTAAAACATATTTTTTTTGTATTGTTTTTTGAAGTTTGTAACAATATTTGTGTACAAAATCAAACTACTTAGGAAAAATTTAAAACGTTCTATAAAAAGTTTAACAAAAAGTGCGGTCTATTTGTCAATGGAATTACCCTAATTTTTTTTTATTCTAATTCACTCCCTAACAAGGCTGCAAACAACCACTATTAAGTTAAGAGTTACTAGAAAGAAAAAAAAATATTTATAGAGCAAAGATACAGTTGACAGGAGATTTGAAGGGGTTAAAGTGCGGGGGAAAAAACTAGACGAATAAAGGTTTTTAGAACAGGGACAGATACAGTAAACGAATGAGACTTTGCTGAATGACGAGTCAAGCAAGAATAAAACTTTAGTAGACAACAGTATTCCTTACAGGGACGAATAAGAGATTTGGAAATGGAATCAGGAGTAAAAAATGACGAGATAAAGAGAAGCAACCTAAACAGATGCTTATTTAGTAATCAATTGTATATATGGTTTCCATGTGAGAGGTCAGTAGTAAACGATAATTCAAAAAGACGTAAAGAAGAGGACTCAGTCAGAGGGTTGCTATTCAGTAATATAGGAATGTCGACAGTATTGTGAATGTCGACAGTATTGTTGTTTGCAGTAAATAACTAAGTCTTGTTTGAGTAAAAACTTATAAGCCACTGCGAACCCCAATCTGTTACAGAAGTGAAATCAGATTCAAGATTAGCTCTAAGGGATCGTAAAGTAAAAACTTTTTGTTGAGACAGGAATATACAGTTGATTCATCAGCAAAAGAGCTAATTTATATGTAAGATAGTCAAGAAGATCATAATTTAGATGTCAGTAATGTAAATAACATTATGTAGATCATTAATGAAGATAACAAAACAGGACCAAAGATAGAACCTTAAGATACCCCAGAAAATATTGGAAATGAAGAAGAGTGTTGGCCTTTAAGAATAACTTTTATAAAGCAGTTAGAAAGAAACAGTTTTATAATTTTAAAAACTTTCTGAGATACACTATATGAAGCAACCTTATGGAGAAGACCAGCATGCCAAATCTTGTAAAAGGTTTTAGATATGCCAAGAGCAATAACCCGAGTCTCTCCGCCTCCACCTAATGCACAATATAATCTTTCAATCAGAAGACACATCATGTAGTAAATCAAACTAATTTACTAACTGGACATGTATGTTTTTTCTTTGTATGTATGTATGTATATATGTGCGTATGCATGTATAGATATTTATTTTGAAATTTATTTTGATTTAAAATCAAAATAAATTTCCTTTTTTCCTTCAATCATCATTTGGTATAGTAATTTAAATTCACTCTTGTTCAAATAAATCTGATTGCAAAAAGTATTTTAAAACTTGAGAAGTTTTTTGTGGTAATTGCAGTGCCGGATCAAGGGATGGGGGGGGGAGTCTAGGAAGGCTATAGCCTCTGGCCCCGCAAATTTAGGGGCCCCCAAGATTTTAGACGACCTTTTTTTTACAGTTATTTTTAGACTCTGGTCCATAAAAAAGCCTCCAAAAACAAAAATAGCCCCGGGCCCGATGAAGTCTTAATCCACCTCTGGGTAAATTTATAAGATAAATTTTGATAAAAAGATTTTTCTACGCAAACGGGAAAGGGAAGGGAAAAATAATCATATGAGCATGCTTAATTTTGCCTCAGACAAATTAAAATTTATACTAAATATGCTCATGTGATTATTTTATTTCCCTATCCTGTTCCCTTAGAGTAACGGATGACATTTAATTTTAGTTGTTTTTTTTATGATTTTTTTTTTTTGAATTTTTAGATTAGAACTTAATTAGTAAATGTCTAGATAAGAATTGGAGCATTTTTGCTGGATTTACGAAAACATAATTTATATTTTTATACTTAAAGTATGGCTATTTGTTTGTAAATCCGGCAAAAAAAACTACAACAAAATAAAATCCTTGAAAAAATAAACTCCTTGCTAAAAAAAAAAATTTTTTTAGAAATTAATTTACTATGATTACAGCTTTTAAAGCTTACAAACTAAGTTTCAAAATTTTCATTTTTCAACGCTAAGACGCAATTTCGGATTGCCGCTGGAGTAATTACCCAGCCAACATTGACAGACGGGTACCGTATGGTTTTTGTCTGGGCTTACGGGAACGGGATTTTGACGGGTAAGTGTTTTGGTTTCCAGACGGGTCCCATATGGTAATAAAATCAAGCATATTTGCTCGTTAGGGTTTTATCTGGTTTTTATCAGGGCCGAATAACCTGGGGATTTAACGGGTTTCCCATAAGGTTCCCAAAAGGTTTAAAAAAAATCATAACAAAACTTACTCGATGGTTGCCATTTTACATTAAATTTACAGTAAATACATTATATTTACATTGTAATTAAAAAGAATTTTTTTTTGATGTGTTTTGTCGCTGTAAAACTCAGTTAAAAAGACGTTGTTTCAAAATTTCATTCATTTATTATCATTATAAAAGAATTTTTATATATACATATATATACATGTATACTATTTTTTAAATGAATTTACAAAGTTCAACATATTTGTTGAACATATGTTCCAGAAACTATTAAACATGTAGTAAATGTTCCATTGAGACACTGTTTGCATTTTTAAAATGATCAAAATATAAAGTTTTGTTTCTGCTAGTCACTAGCAGAAACAAACTTTATATTTTGATCATTTTAAAAATGCAAACAGTGCAAACTAGCAGCTAGTGATATAATTAGATAATAAATGGTTTAATCAATATATTAGTTTAGTCAGAAACATTTAAAAAGAGCAAACAGACGAATAGAATGTAATGGATAGGTTATATTTAGGGAATTAAAAGCTTTTAAATCGTTTTTACAGATCCACTCTTTTCCATTGATTTTTCTATATTTTATGCAAACAAAATGACTGATGTTAACGAAGTTTACCCACCGTCAGATATAAATAAAGATATAATTATATGTTTAAATGCAAAAATATGGCTTTATTGTTATGCATCAACCTCATTTTTTAATCATTGATATTTTTTGATTTTGATTTAAAATTGTACACTTGCAATATAAACAATAATTTCATAATATACATAATAATAACTTATACTTACAATACCTATACTTGTAAATACTTGTAATATAATAATTATGTTTATAATACTGATAAAAATTTTTATTGATATAAACTTTTGCATTCAAACTTTAGTTATAAAACTTTAATTTAACTTAATAACTTTTACATAAATAACAATAACTAAAAAATGATGTTAGTTATTATATAGATTATAGCCATATGCTTATTTATTATAATCGAGTTACAGTAAGTTAAACAATATAAAATGTTAAGTTCCAGGCAATAGGTCTTATATGATATGTATCTTATGTATATCTTGTATTTTGCAGCATGTTAAAGAATATTTCTGCATGGTGCACTCTGACTGTTGACAATATTTGCATATTGATATGAGTAAAAGTGACTTCAACAACCAGAATGTGTTTTTGATAAATATTAATAATAACAGATTAGTAAATATAATTATAGTAATAATGGCAATAACTTTTTATCATTAGAATTAGTGAGAGAATTATGTATAATAGAGCTACATTAACTTTGGGGGACAAATATAATAACTTGAGTAAATATTATCGTTGTTTATAACCTCGATTAGAGTAATGTAAGTAAATATTATTTTTATCTAAAGAATATTCGGCAAAAGTCAGTATTTCCTAAGTATTAAATATTATAAAAAAACACGTGTTTAAAAAAAAAAATTTTAATGTATCATAAAATAAAAAAATAAGTATTTGAGTATAAAAAAAAACACATTTATTATTATAATGTATATACATCACATTAACTATGTTGTCTATAAAGTAGGGGTTGCAGCTGATATTTCAGCTTCAGCTATAAACTCATTAGCTTCAGATTAATGCTGAAGCTGATCAAGTCAGTTTAATCATCTTGATAGCTGATAGTAAAAGAGAATAATACTCCATAAATATTTTATATAAAATATATTTTTATATAGGAATTTATTCAATGAAAATCTAAAATAGTGACAAAATTTAAACATACATGTAAATTTTAAATAAAATTTGCCAAAGGTTGTTGCTATTTATAAATGTTGCCATCAGAGCCTAGGCCTAGGACTTACAATATTAGGGAGCCAAATTATGTTTTTAGAAATTTGTTTAAAAAGTGGTGCCCAAAAATCTAATTCCATTTTTTATTATCTTAAGGGGACCAACTATCTTTTGTTCAAAAAGAGTACACTTTGCAAGTATTTCATAGGTAAAAAAAAAAGGTAGATAAAGCGATAAAAAACTTTATTTTTTTTTTAAAACATATTTTTCGTCAGAGTGGATTTTTTTTGCTAGATGAGGATGTTCGTCTAATAATGTAGCTGCATCCGAACATATTAAATTTCATATTAAATTTGACTGTTAAGACGGCATATAATGTTTTCACAGAAAGTTGCAACTTCTCACTGCTCCAATAATCATTCCTTAGTGAAAATACCTTTTCAACAGCAGCATTAGTGCCTGGACAACATAAAGAAATTTCTGTTAAAACTTTTAAATTTTCATGTGGGATATGTTCTACTCTAAAATGCCGAAAGATTTCTACCCATCTTTTTTCAAGTTCTATTTTCTCATTGTTCCATTTCTTTAATTTTTCTTCATTTAAAAATAAATTTACTCTTCCGATTTCTTCAAAAAGAAAATTGTCATTAATAATAATATCTTTTACTTCCTTTATTACAAATTCGACTGCTGAAGAAACTTTTTTCCATTCAATTTTACTATTTATAAGGGTCCATTTAAAACAATTCAATGTTCTAAAGTTTATTATCCATTCTTCGATATATTCATAGCAAATTTTATAAAAATTTTTAACTTCTTTTAAAAAATTTTTTTTTATCCGGGATTGGAATCTTCCAAAGCGGTCAGTTTATAGGCTTTAATAAAGCCTTTAATATTGTATATAGTAGTGTATGTATATATTTTTTTTATTTAAATTTGCCTTTAATTTGTTTTTTTATATTTTTCTGCAAAAAAAATTTTCTGTCACTTTATCCTTCTGAATTTATGTGATTAAGTTTTTGTTTTCTCTTACATATTTTCTCACTCATCTCATCCGTTTATTTTCTCTTTTTTTTTTCATTTTTCTTAGCATTACTCTTTTATATTTTTGTGTTAATTCCAACTTTTTTAAATAGTATTGTTCCTTATACTTCTTTTTTTATTACTTGTATTAATGTAGTTTTCTTTCTTTCTTATTATTTTTTATTTTATTTGTTTATTTTATAAAGGTGTCGCTCCATTGACTTGTTTTTAATATGAGTGACACCGAACATAAATTTGTAAATTATAATTAAGTTTGTAATTTTTGATTTTATGGTTAATTAACCATAGGCGCATGCGTAGTATGTACAGTAAAGTTTTTGTTATCCTTTTATTTAATTAAATAAATGGATAAAAAACTTTGCTGTACATACTACGCATGCGTCAAGACTGTCAAGCATGGCGTACATACTGCACATCAAAGATCAGCCTGGGGATTACATATGCAAATGTTGGATCCATCTCTTTTCACAAATGTAATTTTGACATTGTTAGAAAAAGAGGTCTGTAGTATCTATCTATCTCTCCAGGTTCATAATACCCTCTCAATTGTGTTGAAAATGGCAGCCATATGTGCGTTCAAAATTTAAATCACTGTCAAACTTGTATCTGGTGTTTGCCCTGTCCTCTGACGTGCTGGAAACGGCTAGCAATATGTGCGCATGAAATTCAAATCACTGTCAAAATAATTTAAATATTTAATTAATAAAATTGAAATGAAATAATATAAAAAAAAAATGTTTTAGAAATACAAATGAGTACAAAATTATACAAATGAGTACTTTCAGAGTACAGGATTTGAAAAAAGTACGGTTTGTGAAAAAAGAGTAAAAAAACTCAGTAAATGAGAATAGCAGGTCACCTTAATTGTCTACATAATTTTTTGGTAGATTTCAAAGTTCTTGCAAAAGATGGTTTTATCTATGAAAATATTGAGTTTAAAATCAATCTTGCTGTTATCATATGTGATGCACCAGCTAGAGCATTTGTAAAGTGTATTAAAGGACACAATGGTTATAACTGATGTGAATGTTGTGCTTAGAAAGGAGAGTGGCGTGGCAAGATAATTCTCCTACATATTTCACTAATTTTAAGCACTGATTCAGATTTTTTGTCATTAAAAGCATTCTGAACATCTTAGTGGTGTGTTAAATTGAATTAAATTTTGACATGGTGACAAAGTTTCCTTTAGACTTAATGCATCTAGTATGCTTAGGGGTAATGCAAAGATTTCTCAACTTATGGTTAAATTGCCCAAATGTTGTAAATTGTCTCAGATTACAGTCAATACTTTATCTGGCGGATTGTTCCAGGTATGTCATTACATTCCAAGAAATTTTTATAGAAAATCAAGGTCTTAATTAGATATTAAAAAATGGAAAACAACTGAGCTTAGACTATTTATAATATACACTGGACCAGTTGTTTAAAGGGAATGGTTTAGCCAAAAATCTATTAAATTTTTTAGATTTTTCAGTTGTAGTTCTACTTTCATAATGTTTCATTTTGTTGAAAAAATATGTTAATTTTGCTTTTCAGCTACTTATTTTTATATGTGAACTTTATCGTAAGGATCAACTAGTGTACAATGTCCATTCATTAGCACATATAGGAAATAATACAGTTAAATATTAGGTACTTGATAGATGTCCTTCTTTCAAATACAAAACTTTTTCAGGTCAATTAAAAAATGTTTGTCTAGGGGGCTCATTTGCAAATTTAGGGGCCCTTTTACAAATGTAAGGATTTTTTTTTTTTAGGATTTTTATTTAGATTTTGTTTATCTAATGGAAAAGTTTTAGGAATTTTGGGGCCTTTATGACAGGTTTTTTTTTGGAATGGGGGACTTGTATCTAGTAGCCAGGGCACTGTATATAAGGTATATACAATATATGTCAAATTATATACAATATGAATAAAAAAATATATTTATTTAATAATTTTATAAAATTTATTTATCAGTAACTAAAGGAATGTTATCAATTTATTATATGAATCATAAGCATGTGCTTATCTATTACAAGTACCTTTGATGGTGAAAATTACATTTTTTATCTGAAGAGAGTTGGGAGAAATGGTAAGAGTTTCATAACATATTAAAATTAATGTATGTGTTACCAATAAAGTTTAAAACTAACAGTTAAACTTAATTTTTTACAGTTCATATTGAAACGAGATATTGTGTAAAGAGGTTTTCAAAGAAGTCGTTTTAACAACATGGAAAAGCTTTCGATTCCCGAGATAAACGTGAAAGCATTTGATACATGATTAAAGAATCGTTCAAAAGTTTGCTTAATTTTGACAGTGTAATTTTAATTACTATTTTTTTTGAAATAAACCATTCAATTTAAATATAAATTTGCTTTTTCTGTAAATTTTAAACATTTAAACGTAGTTTTGCAAGATTTGCAATGGGTAAACCTCGTGGGACCCGCACGGGATACCCGGCGGGCATACCCATATGGGCCCCAGAAGAAAACCGCGGCCATGATCCGGCGGGTTCCCGATGGGTTTCCCATATGGGTCCCATTTGCAAACCCAAATGGGTCCCTTACGGTTTTAAAGTACGGGATTTGACTGGGACCCATACGGGATACCCGGCGGGCTAACCCATATGGGTCCCATATGGAAACCGCGGTCATGATCCGGCGGGATACCCTTGGTCTTCCCATACGGGACCCAGTTGACGACCCGTATGGACCCAGTTGACGACCCGTATTGGCCCCGTACGGTACCCGTATGTCAATGTTGGCTGGGTATACTACTCACGATTAGCACGGATCCTGAAAATGACAACCTAGCTGACCCAAAAATGCCACTTATATAGGGTGAGTTTGAAGTCTATTAATCTTGTCTGCGAAAAATAATTTAATTTGAATGTATTGTTTAAATTAAGTGAAGTTTTGAATTTATAGTGCGGCAATAAAAACACCTGTAGAATGAGAACCACAGCACATTATTAAAAAAAATGGTGCAAATTTAGTATATAGCCACACCAAACTCTGGGAAACATTTTAGTTGGATTTGTTAACTGCTTCAGGGTTTATGACAGTTTTAGTTTATAATTTGTTAGTTTTTTGCTACTTATACCTCAAAACGTTACCGATTACTGTGATATTCGATCACTATTTTCAAAATAAAGCTTACATTTTTTTTGTTTTATGTGTGTAATTTATTTCGCCGTTAAAGAATGTTTACATTGCATATACATATATCAAAATTAATGGCTATGAGCAAGAAAAAGACACAGTTTGCCTTATCGGCGAGCCCATATACAAAAAAAAATTTCTACATAACCGTAATATTCAAATATACATAAAAACATAAATCAGAATTAAACAGAAAATAACTAAGAAAATAAAAAAAATTCAAAATAGCAAATAACAAATAATTAAGAAGTGTTGAAATGCTTACAACCGCTAAAATGTATAAGAATCTCTTAAACAAAAATTTTCGAATAAAAAAAGAACAATATAAAATTTCATAATTAACATAATCACAAGATGAATTTTTAATAACATCAATTAAATTTCATTGATATAAATAAACTTGTTTCTATTTGATTAAGCTTACATCAAAACAAAACATTAAAAGTCAGATAAATTAAGTTCCCTGAACAGTAATGATCTTTTTGATTCACTTTTAAATTGTTCTAATGTGTTGTTTTTGTTGACAATCTCTGGGAATTTTGGGAACAGGTCCGCGGTATTTAATTGAATAGGAGGTTAATTTTAAATTATATTTGAGAAGAACAAAGTTGTTATCTGAAAATTTTGTTGAATATTTATAATTAATTTTATTAAAATAAGTTTGAAAAAGTTTGGGTGACGATCCCATTTTTGCTTTAAACATAAACAATAAAACTTGGTGTAAATTGAGTTTATACACATTTAAAGCACCGAGTGCACGTAAAAGTGGTTTGCAAGGATTATTTCTGTAGGCTCCAAACACTATTCTGCATGAATGTTTTGTAGATTTTCTTAAGTTTTGTATAGCCAATACTAGACACAATATTACAGTAAGACAAATAACTGTGAATAAATGCAAAGTACAATTTTTTCAGGGATGCTACATTTAGAAAAGGTTTAGCCTTAAATATCAATGCGATATTTTATTACATGAGTGTTCTACAATGTAATATTACCAATTTTAATTATAATTGTTTTATTGTTACCTGTACCATTTTCATTCTATAGACAAAAATATTGGTTTGCTATTTGAAGCGTGGTTTGAATTGACTTGTGCATAGTATAAATATTTCAACATTTTCTAAAGTACTGCCAAAATGCAAAAAAAAAAAATTTAATAAATTGAATTATGGTGGCAGTTCTTTAAATATGTTTACTTTTCAGATCAGTTATGCAGCATGAAAATCTTTCTTTGTACTCTGGATGATTATTGTTTTGTTTATACCTTGACCAATGTTTGTAATTTTCGTTTATACCTTGACCAATGTTTGTAAAGTCTTGATGAGCACTTTTGACAGTTAGTTCACTATAAAGCTTCAAAAGGATCCTTTGCGACTGATGACATTTTTGATGTTGTAGAAGACGGCGTGAATTTTTGTTGTTACGCTTATTTAATGATACACCAGGTATCATTAAATAACACCTTTTGAAATTTTAAGCTGTTTCAGCAAATCTGGCTGATAAATACAAAGAATAAATACAAAGCAAGCTTTTACAACTAAATTGAAACTTTTGAATGCTTCAATTATGTGAAGAATGAACAGGAGGAGGAGGGAACAGAGTTTATATTAGTAAATTGCTAGAGCACATCCACATTTTTAATAAACTTCGTGCATTCATTTTCCTTAAACAGGCCCCTATGATACGGGCTCAGTTTAATGTGGAGGGCAGCTAACCACTTAACAGCCTCTATCTAAGCAGTTATAAGTACCTTGATAAGGTGATTAACAACTCCTATAAGAAGATTATTTTCAAAATCAGAACATTATCAGCCTATTGATGATTGGATTTTGATAATTTGTTCAATTTGTTTCTTAACTTCAGTGTCTTTGCCAGTCCTTTAATTGCTTTTAAGGCGGTGTATAAACCCTTAACGCAATATTAACAATCCTGCGACAAAACTTGAAAAAACCTATACCATCATCAATTCCGAGCTTAACAAAAATTTTGAGAGATTAAACAACATGATTCATAAGACTTGATAAATCATTGCAGTGAGCAACAACCCGAACTTTACCAGAATCTCTGTCGGTAATTTTTAAGTCACTGCAGGAGAAAAAACCACTTAAATGTTGAGAATTTCTTTTGAAAATTTGGCTCTATCATCTTGCTGCTTAATGTTTGATTTAAGTTCTAACCAGTTTCTTTAATCTACTGTTTGATAGTATTTAGTTATAGATTTACAAGAGCTGGAGTGGTCAATTTTGAAGTTCTTGATAGTGGCTAGGCTATTAAACTTTATTCAGAAATTTTAAAACTCTCAAATTATTTCTTTTTAAAATGATTCGAAATTTGTTAAAATATGCTTCTCGAAACCTGTCTTGTCTCTTTTTTTACAAATTTTCTTTGAATATCTCGTCCCCTCAGTATTATCTTGCTCTATCTACAAATCGAATACATAAAATGTTCTATCTAATATATAAAAGAAATACAAATACATATACAAATATTTTTAAATTTTTTCTTTCAAACGTATATAATAAAATTTAAATAACTTTTTAATAAACATTCAAAATATTTAAACAAATACTTAAAACGTTCATAATTAAACACAGTTCAAGATGATTTATAAATATTTAATTATTTCCTGTCTTATTGTAACTTTATAGAGGAAGTACTACGAACTTCTCTAACGACCTAAGTAGATTATATCAGGTAGAATATTGTATTTATATATACTATCAGTAAGCAACCCGTAAAACGTGTTGTTAGTAAATAAAATTAAAAAAAAAAATCGCGAATAGAAAAACCTAGAAACTACTTTAAAATAGAAAAGCCTAGAAAATGACGTAATTCGACTTATAATATTAAATTAGCGTATTAATATATATATATATATATATATATATATATATATATATATATATATATATATATATATATATATATATATATATATATATATATATATATATATATATATATATATATATATATATATATATATATATATATATATTAATACGCTAATTTAATATTATAAGTCGAATTACGTCATTTTCTAGGTTTTTCTATTCGCGATTTTATATATATATATATATATATATATATATATATATATATATATATATATATATATATATATATATATATATATATATATATATATATATATATATATATATATATATATATATATATATATATATATATACAATATTCTACCTGATATAATCTACTTAGGTCGTTAGAGAAGTTTGTAGAACTTCATTTATAAAGTTACAATAAAACAGGAAATAATTAAATATTTATATATCATCTTGAACTGTGTTTAATTATAAAAGTTTTAAGTATTTGTTTAAATATTTTAAATGATTATTAAAAAGTTTTTTAAATTTTATTATATACGTTTGAAAGAAAAAATTTAAAAATGGAAAAACTTGAATATCGAGCAAATATTAAAACCCGTGCTCTATTTGGAGTTTCAGCACAAGCCATAACCGATGAATTGGTTTTAGTTCATGGTAATCAAGCTCCAAAATATAGTACAGTTGCTAAATGGGCTAATTTATTTAAAGATGGTAGAGAGAGAGAGTCTTGAAGATGATCCTCGCTCAGGGTACTTTCAAACCACGTATACAGCTGAGAATATTGAACGTTTGCGAGCCATTATTGAAGAAAATCTGCATGCAACACATGATATAATTGAAGACCTGAAATCTATTGATCGTTTTACAATCAACAAAATCATTCGCAACGCACTTAAAAAAAGAAAACTAACATCACATTGGATACCCCACAATTTAACCGATCAAAATCGAAATAATAGAGTTGAGGCATGTAAAGAAATTTTAGTTCTTTATAGAAACGGCCCATGGAGGCTATGTGATATTGTTACAGAGGATGAGTCGTGGTTTTATTTTAGACAAGTTGGACACAAGTCAGCTAACGCTAGTTGGGTCGGTGAAGGTGAAAGTTCATAAACTATAGTAAGATGCAATAGGTTTTAGCCGAAAACCATGTTCAGCATCTTCCTCAAAACAACAGGTGTTGTTCATTTGAAAAAAAAAATAATAATAAGCATATGTGA